GATGTAGAATTAGGGTAATGTTAGGAGCAGGGTTTTTTTAGAGATTTGTTTAGAAAGAGTCAATTCTCTCACAGCTTGAAATTTACGCGTCTTGATCTAAAACCGTTTCACGCTTACTTCCAACACATTTTAGATCACCAAGTTGTACCGCGTTTTACAGTTGGAGCAAGTTTTATTTGCATCAGGCCTGCAATACCTGTTTTCTTGTACGCTAAAAATTTATTGATACTCCTGCGATTTCTGTTACACTGTTTTGTAATAAAGTGGCTAAAGCAAGTGGGTCATGCAAATAGTGCTCGCGGAGAAATAGAGAGAGAGAGATTGTATTAAAGCAGGTCATAGTTTAAATCAATTCCCATAAATATCCAAAAGTAAACATGGAACGGAATATTTGATCCTTGAGGAGAAAATACTCACAACAGTAGTAGGTGTTGTGGTAGTTTTGAAATTGCAAATATCCTTCTAGTATTGATGCTTATCCTAAATCTAATAATATGATGTTCATTAAATATTTATCAAATATTTATTATTTCTTAATTTCTTATTATTTCTTAATATATTTCTCAATTTTTGCCGTATTTAAACCAACACTTTTATTTTTTGAATTCTGACATGACATTTTAATTTAACTATTACGAAATTCGCTATTAAGAAGTTTTAAGCGAATATGGTTGACTTTTTAATTTTTTGTTGGTCATATTGGTTCCGCCATTTGAAATTTTTTAAATCCGACAATAAATTCGATAGCAGGCGACCACATGAAACCAAAACCTAAAACTACTCATAATTCGAATTTGATTTAGTATTTTTCTTTTCACTTTTACTTTAGTATTACTAAAACTCTATTTTATACAGAAAGAAAAAATATCAAATTATGTAAAAGTATTTTGCAATTTCGAAAAAAAGCAAAATTTTAATATAAAACATATCCATCCAACTTTAAAAAAAACGTACACTACCGTCGGAAATTATCGGTACGGCTGCACGTGCATGGTCCAAAAACATACCAATCTTTAAATCACGATATTTCTGTAAAAATAAGTCCTGGAAAATTAACAAATTCGAAAGCTTATAATATTCTAGGTTAAATGATTACATAATTAAAAATTTTAATTTACAGAAAGATTTTAGAAACCGTCAAATTTGAAAAACAAATTAAAAAATGGATCGTTCAAGTCTCTTCTTTAATTTAAGGCCAAAAGAGTTCAAAAATCTTATTCGGTTCACGAGATATCATTATAAACTTCCGAGCATGTTTTTTGACAAATGCATTGAATTAGTCAATTTTGTACGGATTTTGACTGAAAATGCTCGACGTTTATAATGATATCTCGCGAACCGAATAAGATTTTTTTAACTTTTTTGGTCTTAAATTAAAGATGAGACTTGAAGAATGTCAGCTATATGTTTTAAATTTAGTCTGCAATTTTTAAAAATTATGCCAAAGTTTAAAAAATAGCCAAAAAAATTTTCATTTTTAAATTTTGTTTTCAAATTTGACGGTTGCTAAAATCTTTTTGTAATTTACTAAAATATTTATTTATGATTATAAGCTTTCGAATGGTACATTTGTTAATTTTCTGAGATTTATTTTTACAGAAAAATCGTGATTTAAAGATTGGTATAAAATTTAATAAATTTTATATTTAATATTAAATATACGTATTAATGAAATTTTAATGTAACTTTCATAAATGTTATATAACATTTTTTAAACTTTAGTATATTTTATATCAAAATTTTTCTTTGTTGCATTTTCTTCTGAAATTTTAAAATACTTTTATGAAATTAAATACTTATTTTCTATCTGAGTAGTATTTTTTTTAACAAAAGATCACATTTTTTATGGCTGAAATACGAAATTATTGTTATTTTAAAAACCAAAAATTATGGAAAATTTCATTTTCTCAATTTTTTGTTGAAAGACATTCTTTTTTTTTAACCAAAATATTTCAAATTCGAATTTTTTATATATTTTATATGTTTTTTTGACCTCAAGAATTAAAAAAACATATTTTCATTTTATGAAATAATGAAAAAATAAAATAAATTGATCGAAAAAAATCTCCATGAGGAAGCATAGAATTAATAAAATAAACACAGTGAATTCATTTTTTCATTGGTCCTATCAAATTTACCTAATATCTATAAATAACAGAGTTTTTCTAAGGATATCAAATTAGACTGGGTATAGGAAAATGTACCCACTGGAGTCTCTGCTAAAAAATTGAATTTATCGAAATATTTCATTCGAACAAAGATTTAACAAGGATCTGGGAAACTTTCATAGTTTTTATCAGAAACCTTCTTGCATAATTGAAGGAATAGAACAAATTCTGCGCAAAATACTATAAAAAAATAATTTCTGAAATTTTGATTTTTGAATGAATTAGAAAAATGAATTTTGTTTCCGAAAGTATTATTTCATTTACAAATTTGGTACTTATTTATAATTCTAAACCAACTTCTCATTTATTAATACTTTTTGGATCCGTTAGAAAAATTATCTTCCCTCCAATAAAGTTTCATTATTATACACTTCCTCCCTCTTTATTTTTCTCTCTTGCTTTTTCCTCTTGAGATTCTCTCGGAGAGAATCGCCGTTTGAATTCCAATCCATTTCCAACATCAGTTTAGCATCGTTGCATAAACAAATTGTAATTATCGTTTATCCAGTGCATATCATCCAATGTATATAGTGATATTTACGTGTAGGGAGTTGGTGTTTGTGTATACGTATACGTGTCTATGTACAGTATATAATGATGGAGTGTCATTTTCCGCAGTTTCTTTCGCTAGAATTCTCGCACGAACGCGATACGCAACCACGCGAACACATTTTGCTTAGTTATTCTTTAACCGTTAAACGGAATGTCGAGCGACCTCAGGCCAATATCCGCACTCGATGGACGATAATACTTCCTATTTCTTGTGGCCTCGCTTCGCGTTTCTTTTCTCCTCAACAGCATAAACACAAGAGAAGAGACGCCAATGGCAGAGGTATATATATAGGAGAAAACTGGTAATATTAAAACGTGTTATAAATGGTGTAGAATGGGATTTGTAAAGGCATCATCCGGAAATACGGAAAATAGTCTATATTTCGTGCAAAACGGGGAAAAAAGGGAGAAAAAAAATCCCCTTGGAATTTTGTAACAAGCTGCGTATTAATTCTCTCTTTACATGCAATATTCACTTTTTTCTCATTTTTTTCCTTGTTTTTTTTTTATTTCAGAAAACAGAAATGCAGAAAATAATTCTAATAAATGTGATTCTTTAATAAGTACAAGAAACATTTTCGAAATACTTTTCTTTTCTTGATTTTTTCCTCTTGCTACCAAAAGGAAACAATATTTCAGTTTTTGTCTTTTCTTGTATATATATAAATATAATAAAATTTTCTCCCTTGCATATGGCGAAGAACATTTTAACATTCTAAAGTTACAGTACCTTATAAAATGGATTGGTACACGGTTAACCGTGTACCTTCTACATTCATATGCAAATTTCCCAGCTAATAACGATTTCGTATGTAGATCCCTGTTTAGTAACAATAAAAGTTTAAGTACAATACGTTTACTACATGCTGAATTATGTTCTTTGAATGAAAATTGGTGGAATTAGGAAATAATTCATTTATGCTTTTTGCAACTTTGATAAAAATACGTATAACTTCGTCTATATTAAAACAAACTTTTCACTCTCGTTTCCTTTGTATTGTTTTCGTCCAATAAAATAAAAAGGTTTTTTTTACAAAAAAAAAATTAACAAAAATTGAAATTATTTAAAAATTGTAATTTGAAAAAAATAGAATTGAGCAGAATATTATTAAAAATCCACTAAGTAAAATAAAAATACACTTTTTATTTTCATCACTAAAACATTTAAGCCATAACACCAAAAATTTGATGAAAAAAATGGCTTATTATTTATCAAGTATAAAAGTAAAAAAAAAAAGAATTAAAAAATTGAAATTAAAAGAGTGAAATTTAGAATGATAGAAGAAAGTAAAATAGAAAGTAAAGAACAAAAGGAAAAACACTTGGTGAAAATGATGAAAATAAATAAAAGTTTTAAACAGAAAATAACAAAGTAATTCTTTAACGAGAGCAGTTAACAGTTACTCAAAAAATTCAGTTAAAGACGAATTGGGAGGTCGTTGCAAGAAAAAAGACAACCGTTCGTTTCCTCAAGTTTTTTTTGTCGTGAACGCTTTCAATGTCCTTGCTGCATTTTTCACCGTCTCAACATTGAACCCATTTCGTGCATTTTTTTCTGTTTAATAATTATTTATTATCAATTGAATAGCAATTTTTTTATTTTGTAAATGAAAATTAAATCTTATAGTTGCCTACTATTTTTTAGACTTTATGTTTATTTAATAAATTTTTATTTCTTCTTCTATTTACTTATCAATCTAAGATATAAAAGTTATTTATCAAATTTACTAATTTTTTAAAACAGATACTCCAATTATAATAATTTTTCACGCTCCAAAATCAACAGTCTGCCTACCAATACAACAGTAAAAAAAAGTGACAAATTTAAATAAACGAGGAACTTTTTCTTCGCGCTTCTTTCGATCAATTAAGATTTCGAGACATCATTCTGGACACCTGCGGATCCTCAGATTTTTTTTCGTTCCTCTCTTTCTCTTTCTCTCCACTCAGACAAAAATTCTCTGAATACAATCTTTCCGCGCGATTGGTACAAAGTTGACACGCGATTTTTTCGCAGAGCAAAAAAGAAGATTAAGAAAAAAAAGTCGTGCGATGGAATGTGAACAAATTAGACGTCTTGAGGATGACTGAAGGTGACTATTTTAACGAGTAGGAAGTAAAAGGGTATGATGAGCAGGGGAAGGGTAAGGGGGGCTAGGAGAGGGGAAAATAGAGAAAGAGTGAGGAAGGGGTTATGTTGGGGGAGGAGGACGAGGGGGGGAAGATAAGATGAGATGAAAAAGAGAGAAATCGGTAACAGGCTTAGCCGATCGAAAACCGGCAGTTTCAGTAGTGTTGTAGAGGCGATCGGACTGTGCGTACCGTTCTGTCCTCCTTAGGCACTTCTTCGTTGCGGTTGCCTCCTCAGACGTTGTCGGTCGCTCAAGGAAGAGTCACGGTTTTTCAGGTACAGTACCTATTTCGCGATCGTTGGTCTTTGGATTATTTTAAAAGCAGTAAAAAAAAAATTTTTTTTTAAAAGCGGACTAAAAAGTGTCAATTTGTGTTTTTGATTTTAAAATAATAGTGCAACGAGATTTGTCTAGCAAGGATTGCAATACAGTTTTGTAAAAAAAAAATTTTTCCAAGTGACTTAATTCAATTGAAATTGATTTTCGATAAATCGCTCGCGCGCTCGGTTATTTAATGGTGATTTTTTCGAAGAATTTTGTTTTTTTAGTTCTCGCTTTTTTTAAATTATAAAAGAGGGGGTGAAATATTTTATACCGGAAATTCCTTGAAAGTTATCCAAGCTATTTGCATTCTCGTCGTTGTTGCGCAAACGCCTCGCACACAAAATACACTTGCATCAGCAGGTGCTTCCGTCCGCACAACTCCAACAGGCAGTCATCTCAATCAAGAAACAGCCCCCGTATGTATGTATACGTCATCCCAAGGACGTATCGTGTTTCGAGTTATGCACTTTGCTTGCGGTCAATGGCATGAAATTATCTTTACGCACCAGTGATCTGCGGCCAATTATTGTCGGTGCACGAATACTTTCTTTTTCTCTCGAGTGCGCAATTGTTTGTCAGAGAAAAATAAAGCCCTTGGCTCTAGGTTTTCTTTTAGACGATGGGGTTTTTTTTTTGGTCTATGATGTCTTGACCAAAAGAAAATTTGTTATTGTTTATTTTATTTCTTTAAGGAGGGATTTTTTTAACCATCCTCTGATTGTGTTTTGGAGAAAACATGAGAATATTGGTCGCAGATTGCTCTTTGGGGAAAAGGGAAATTTTTGAAGGAAAATAATTTGTTTCCTAATCTCGAGAAATTTTGGAAAAATAAATTTTAGCACTCTTGAAAAATTTTAACATTCAAAAAAGTTGGAAGTAAAAACAATTGCGTCGAGAAAGTTTTACTATAAAATGAAGAATTATTTTATCAAAATATATATTTTAAAAAATGTGTTCTATTCCGAAAATAATATAATTGTTTTAAAATTATAAACTGTCCTTAATCTATATAAAATTATTGAGAGCAAAGGGAAAATATTCTTCGACTAAGAAATTTTCCTATTTAAAAAATATCAATCATTTTTAGTTTAAAATTATTTTGAACCAATGTTTATCGAAATTATCAGATTGTTTACGCTCAAAGTCAGTCGATAGTAAATTTAACTTGTAAAAGATGACTACAATTTAAATTGGTTTTAAATAAGAAATTTTTAAGTTTAGTGACTGTATTTTAAATAAATTTTTACCTTATCACTTCTCTCGAAAGAATTTTTCTTTTTTTGTAATTTAGATTAAGAAACGTCAAAATTAAAATTTTTCTTGAAATTTACAGTTTAAATATTAAAATTTTGTCCCTAAAGTGTTGAATAAAATTTATAAAAATATTTTAAAGTTAAAATTTATTAAATTATTGTAAATGTGCTGAAATTTGTTAAAAAAATTTAATTCGTTACAAATTCTAAAAGTTGATTGAAATATTTATACTTTAAAGTTGATAAAATTTATAAAAATTATTAAAATTTTATCAAAACTTAAAATTTGTTAACAACGTTAAAAATTGTCAAAAGTGTTAAAATTCTATTATTAGTGCGTTAAAAATTGTAAATAGTATTGCCAACTTTTAATAGTGTTGAAAATTGTTAACAATGCTATAAATTATAAAGAGTGCTAAAAATGAATAAAACCTAAAATTTCAACATTATGTTGATATTGTTAAAAATTGTTTGCTCGTTAAGTGATTAAAAAAAGCAATTGAAACAACATTGAAATTTATTAAAACTGTTATATTGTAACAAGCAGAATGTTTTTCCAATAATTATATGAAAATTTCCCCACTCTCCAAAGAGTTAATGAGCGAAATAAATTGATATTTGTGGAATAAATTTTATTGAATTGTTAAAAAGATCGAGTAGATTTTAAACGAAATTGCCGTGCAGATTTTAATCTGTATAATTGAAACTATAGTGAAAATTCATAATGAATGCTTATATTCATTTTGCAATATTATTTTACGAAGTTATCTTTTCCCACTTTGTTTCCTGTTTCAAATTTTAATCAACTTGTGGTAAAAATGTCACTTCATTGTGAAAATATCACGAAACCAAAAATATGGTTTTTCAAATATTTATATATAAAATTAAGATTTATTTATATATTTTCATGGTTAATAATTATTCAATTTTAGAAATTTGTCGATCAAAAATTCATTTTTTACTTTTTACAAGTATTTTTTTAATAATAAAAGTTTTTTTAAATTAATTTATTTTAGTTTTCAACATTTTTCCAAATTTTTTTTTCTTTAAAAATATATTTTTTTAAACTATATTCGTTAAAAAATTAATTTCCTATCGTTGACATTTGGAAAAATTTTAAAACGTGAATTTTTTTTTATAAAATTTCACCTTTTTCTAAATTTTATAGAAAATGTCTATCAAACAACATGATGTAAAATGTAAAATCAAGTATATTTTTAAAACTGTAGAAAACAATTCGAAAATATAAATTAAATGTCAGAAAACAATTTCAATTTTCAATGTGTCATCAAAGTTTTTCGAAACGATTTTTATTATAGGTTTTGAAATATAAGTCGCTTACATACTTTTTGACCCCATCTTGCGAGAGAAAAATGTTCTCTTAGTGAAACTTTTTGTATATTATTTTTTGCATGAAAGCGAAATATAAAAAATAATCAAAATTCTCTCACTTTTTATTTTGAAGTCAGTAATTATTTATTTAAAACAAGATTGAAAAAAACCTCCCGGAAAATTGGGATTTATAATTAGAAAATACTTGCTTATAATTTAATTTTACGGGCACTAAGCACACAAATTCACATAAGAGGAATTTACTTGCCTGAACTAGAGCAATGTTCTTGACAGTGTTGTATTGAGTTAATGAAGCGACTATAATTATCAGTAATTAAATGCTTATAATTACAATAGCCTAGCAGAAGTAATTAATGAAATTCTATAAAGACAAATTGATTTTTTTTGCTTTACTTTTGAAACAATATAAACTAGAGACTCAATAAATGACATATTAATTTTCCTATAGAGAAATTTTCTACTAAAAACTTTTAATCTGCAAATGTTATAAAATAAAAATTTTTTTTTAAATTTGTTTGAAAAATTTTATTTTTCTAAAAAATGTTTTAAAAATTTAATGTTTTTAATAAAGTACTCTTTCTAGATTCAATTTTTTGCGGGAACAGATGTTTTTTATATTTTTACTATTCGCGTTTTAAAAAATTGAGTGATGTCAAAAGCAGCAAGTGTTAATTATCGAAAAAAATCCACACGCATACTTAGCGTTTAGTTGAGATATTAAACGTATTAATATTCACATGAAGAACATTAGCAACTCACGAAGTTGTATCTTTGTCCATATTCCTCTCGCAACAAGATACAAAGTGTATTTATACAGAGTGTCGAGGGGCGAAAACTTGCGATTAATTTCTCGTTTATTTTACTCGCTCACTCTCGACACGAAGTAAAGAAGATGAGCTCTTGTTTGCCAGGTCGAATAAATATTTGCCCATTTTTTTTTTTTTTTTTTTTTTTTTTTTTTTTGTTGAAATACATTTTTGTAAGAGAGAAAATTTTATTCACCCATTAGACGAAAAAAATAAAGATTGATTTAAAAATTTTTTTCGTTTCTTTTTTTCAGATCAAAAAACGAATAGACAAATAAACAAAAGTGAAAAATAATCACAATGACGACGAAAAACACGAGATGTCAATTTTCAACGAAATTCCTTCTAACAATGTACATTGTCTTCATTGGCGAAACGAAAATTGTCGCCGCTGGTCTCACTACTGCCTCGGAACCATCGGCAGTTTCCGGTCCAGACTACACTGGACCATCGGCTGGTTCCGATGAGTGTGATTCTGAAATGGTTGGCTTCGAATTGGTCACCGGTTATGTCTACACGGCACCAACAAACATGTTGGAATCTATACCAGGCAGTCTGATGCTCACAGACTGTCTGGAGACATGTCAAGGAAACGAATCCTGTCAAGCTGTCAACTACGAAACCGGTCTCTGTGTTCTATTCAACTCCAATGCAGACAGCAATCCCGGTAAGTTGAAAATTTTCTATATTTATTATTTCTCGAAAAAAAGGAGGGAAAAAACAAACTTTTCTCTATAATGGTATCAATAGTTTTTTAAGAAAATGATAAGAAAAAGTTTTTTTGGACCAAGTTTTATCATTTTCACGCAAAAAAGAAATGTTTTCTATGAGTAACGATCTTTGAGAAAATTATTCTCTACTTTCTTCTTTTTAATTTTAAAGATCACGATCATATTTCCAGAGAGGAATGACTTTGAACTTTTTTTCCTGTTTCATTCTGAAACTGTTATGAATGAAAAGTAAAATTTTTTTAAACCTTAAATAAGCGTAACAAATAAATCAGAATTGTAAATTCTACTTTTGATTTTATGACTAATGATTTTCAGAACTGAAAAATTTAGTTGTGGAAAAACTTCGATTGCCTATGACAAGTTTAAAATTTAAATATTTGCCCAGGCTTGATTTGTAAATAAATATTGTTTATTTCTGGTTAATAATAATTCTAAATTTCGAATAGTATAATAGATATTTTAATAAATAAGATAATATTAAGAAGGAAATGAAAGAAAAATTTAAATAAAAGCTCATTTTTTATGATCGAAATAAAAAAATCAAAAATAGCCATTGCTATTGATTGATAATAATTAATTCAAATTTCTCCATTCACTTTGAAATATTATCGAATGCAGAATCATAAATCGTAACATTTACTTCTTCAGGGAATTCGAAAGATAATTTAAAATGACCCAGAGGAATGATAATCTGCTCTCCTCTCGAGGCTAAAATTAATCATGAGATAATTTATTTTGAGCCAAAAGGAAAGGGGATTCATTAAAGGTGAAAATTATTTAAATGCACCAGTTTAAAAAGTTTATTGTGCTCGAGTCAATATTTGCAAAAATATTGACCTGAATCGGAAAAAACACTCAATTTTTTTCACCAAATCCCCCTCTTTTTTTCTCTCTCTCTCTCTTTTTCAGCCCTCAGCAATAAAGAATTAATAATTCACAAAAAAAATTGATGTAAAACGAGGTGTGTGCGAACATTTTTCAACTCGTAAACTTTTGACGCAGTAAAAAACAATAACGACAAATGATAAACAAAAATTGAAATACACGTTTTGTTTTGTTTTATGAAAAAAAAATTTTTTCATATAGATCATAAAATGATAAAAAAATATTAAAACACATCTACAACAAATAAAATATATCATTAATTACACGTTCTACGATATATAAACAAGCATTCGTATATATACTTAACCGGGTTCAATGATGCGTAGATGAAAAATTAATTTTAATGAGGAATTTACTTAATTACCATAATCATCTTATCTAATGCAAAAGAGTGTCTAAATCTTGTTATAACTAGTAATACTTCAAACGAGTTTTAAAACATTACCAAAAGAAAAAGAAAAACAAAAATTGGAAATTTTATTTTTCTACATGAAAAAAATAATCTTGTACGCTATATAGAAAAAATATAAATCGTCTTTCAATGTTACGTATAGTTTTAATTATTACTATTACATTTTGATTAAGCTATTTTCAATATACCGTTAAGAAAAATAAAAAAAAAAATTTGTTCTAGTATATGTAACAGAAAAAGTTGTTCATCAGCTAAACATGTAGAGATATATCCAGTTTCTTTTTAGTACGGGTTTACAAAATTGATATCATAAAATGATTAATAAGGAGAAATTGATGACAGACAGTCAAAGCAAAAATTATTGAAACTCCATGTTTTGTTCATTTTCAAATCTAAAAGTAATTTTTAATATAAATGCCTATTAAGAAAAGTGTAAGAATTTCTATTATTTGTTACTTTAATAACTGTTAAATAAAAGTAAAATTCGATGAAAACTTCTGATAAAAATGAAACTTTAGACAATATGCAATTGAATTTATTTTAAAGAGGAACTGTTATAAAATATTTTTTCTATTAATAGGTAATTAAAAAATATTTTATTTTTTATTTTCAATAATATTATTGAGCAAGAATTTTACTTGAAAATTCTTAAAATAATTGAATTTTGCAAATTTGCAGTTGCAATTTATTTTTATGAATAATTCAATTCCAAATAGTTCTCAATTAAAATGTACGAAAGTTAGAGTACCTGGTGAAAAATGTTTTTAAATTGTTATTTATTAATTTATTATTTGTAATTATATTTAATTAGGTTTTTGTTAATTTAAATTAAATATTCATTTAAAAAATTGATTCTGAAAATAATTTTTATTTACTCTCTAATAAATTTGAATTCGTAAAACTGTTTACTAGTTTGAATTAGTGACTGAATTTTTGCCTTGGAATTAGTAAATTTTACAAATAAATTAGTAGAAATTAGGTACTATTTATTAGTAAAATATACTGATTCAAAAGCAAAAAATCCATCACTAATTCAATTTATTAAACATTTTACTAATTGAGATTTTAAACAAATATAATTAAAAGTTTTTAGAATAATCCATTTGAATAATAACAATTTATGATATGCATATTTAAATTTATTTAAAGCATTTTTTATAGCTGGTTGGAGCTAGCAGTCGCACTCAGCACCAATCCATAGGCGCCATCAAACTTAGTAATCTATTTAATGAAATTAATAAATAAGAACTTACTAAATTTCTTATTTAGTGGTTATTGATTATCAAATAACAATACATTAAGTATTACTAAATTTGATAGAGAGGCATATGTGACCGGGTCTGAGAAAAGGGACCTACTTACCAAAAAATCGATTTTTTTTATGATGGTTTCTTATAGTTTAAGGTCCTAGAAATACAATGCAATCAGTCCTGATTGTTAAAAAATTTTTTTTGCAATTGTTTAAACAAATTTAAAAAAAAAATTTTTTTAAATTTTTTTTTTGGAAAATATAAGTAATTTTAAGACAAAATTACTCTTGGTTGTCTAAGTGTCAAGAATATTCCCCCTAAATCTTAAATTGAATGCCTAAACCATTTACAAAAAATTCGACTTAATTCCTCGAAGATGATCCCCAAGTATACCCGTCATCGGCAACCTGGTTGTGCAAGTCAAAAAATAACAATGGATTATTGTAGAGTTCAGAATTATTCATTATTGTATCAGTTCTGAACTTGCATAAAAAATTTCAGACCTCTAGGACATCCGGAAGTCTTTTAAATTAATTTTGAAAATTCCATAATTTCACTTTTGCAAAGTAAATTGTTTATAACAATTACAGGGTTGTTTGAACAATTATTTAACCATGAAAATTGTATTCAGCATAAAAAAATACATCATCAGCATCAAAAATACAACACTCATCATGTTAATTTAAGATGTAAAATGTTTCAAGAAATCTAATTTATTTGGATAGAAAACTTTAAACGCGTTTTTCTCGAACAGTTGATTTTGGTAAGTAGGTCCCTTTTTTCAGACCCGGTCACATATTAGTGCGATTGACGCCTAAATATTGGTGCTGAGTACAACTGCTAGCTTCAGCCGGCTATTTTTTGTATATCTAATCATTTTTAAAGTTAATCAGAATATTTTTTAAAGCCAGGAAAAAGTCAAAAATTTAATTTTTGTTTTTCTCCAATTTTAAATTGGAGAAAAAACAAAATTAAATTTTTAAGCCAAACTTGGTTTTGAATGGATGTAAAACTAAATTGTAAAATAGTAATAAGGTTAATTTTTTACTTGTCTTCCTATCAAATGTTTTCTTAATAATTTTAATTAGTCAGAATTAATAAATATTACATTTTAATTTATCAAATGAATTTTTAAATAGTTTAAAGTGTAAAAAATAAAATTTCTTACACTTTTTCTAACATCCCCTTTAATTAAAAAATTTCTCTTTTATTTGAAAATACGAAAATAAAGAACTAAACTAACTTTTTTGACTCGCCATCAAATTTTTTCTAAAGATAATATTTTAAACGAATTTTCTAAAAAATAAATCGTTATCAATATTCCCAAAGACTTAAGGGGGCAGATATTGCTTTTCGTTATATGTATATATGTGTGTATACACAGAAGTAGAAAAGGAAGTGTGCTGCAAGTGAAATGTGTGTTCTCGTCGATTTGCCCATGCGACAGAAAAGGGATTCTTGAGTTGGGATTGTCGATTCCCTGAGTCCATCGAACTTTATTTAAATTTTCCACAAATACGATGACACACTATGCCGCTCTCTTTCCCCAACATGAACGAAAGTTGATTTTCCTGCATGAAGCGTTCAAGAGAGAGAGAGAGAGAGAGAGAGAGAGAGAGAGAGAGAGAGAGAGAGAGAGAGAGAGAGAGAGAGAGAGAGAGAGAGAGAGAGAGAGAGAGAGAGAGAGAGAGAGAGAGAGAGAGAGAGAGAGAGAGAGAGAGAGAGAGAGAGAGAAAGAGGGAGAAAAGGGAGGATTGAGAGTGCGAATACTCGGGAATCAAGAGAGGAGGGTGACAAGGGTCCCGGGTTAGACATCGAGAAGCAGGAAAACGATTTTTCGCCTGATTCCCGAACCACTGAATCACCGCTATATATTATGTGCCAGATTCGCCCTGTAACAACTGAGCTGTCAATTTTCCCCGTCGAGAAAAGAAAAAAGAGTCAATACGAAATTCGAATTTCAATAAGTGAAGTGCTCCATCCTGAATTATTTATAAGCCAACTGACAATCAAGCAACTTGAAAATGATTATATTACTTCGTGTTAATGAAACTAATATTGAGTTTCAAAAAGCCGTTGAACATGCTCTACTTTTTTTTTTTTTTTTGCTTAATTGTCAATTCAAAATGCAAATATTAATTCAAATTGAAAAATTAATGCAAATTCAAAATTAAATTTCAGCGGATTTTCATTATTTTTAATCGAAATAATGCTACTGATTCTACTAATTGTAACTAATTGTAGATTAGATTGTTTGCAATTTAAAGTTGACAGGTTTCAACCATAAATAGCTATACTTTTTTTTACCTATTTCAATATTTAGTAGTAGGGTGATGTGGGGTGATGTGCAACGTTTTTTTTCGTTGGACGAAAAACATGTCAAATAATT